AACCGTAGTTGTCTACCCTAGAGGCACTACAGTAGTAGTTCGGTCGGGTTAGTAGTTGCTGAAAAAGTACTAGTAATATGTTATCTGGTAGGCATTCCCACTCGCCAACAGGGCTGGTCAGACCAGACATTCTACTAGCCCTTACTGATTTCTACTAGCCTCGGGCGAGCGGGCGAGCGTTAGTTTCAAGCCCTGCGGTAGAGTGTAGGAGGGGGTGGGGGGCGGGCGCGAGTGAGCATGGGTGAGACACGTACCGTCCAGCTTATGACCAGGTTGTTGGGGTCGGTGCCGTTGCCCTTCACGTTGGTGGGGTTTGTGCGCGGGCGAGGGGGTGGGTGATAGGTGGGGTGGCGGGCGGGCGCGAGTGAGCATGGGTGAGGCACGTACCGTCCAGCTTATGACCAGGTTGTTGGGGTCGGTGCCGTTGCCCTTCACGTTGGTCGGGTTTGTGCGCGGCGGCGCGGCGACCGTCCTGCACACGTCCGTCTCCTCACTAGGCACGCTCTTGCCTTTGTCGTTCTCCGCGAGCACGCGGAAGGTGTAGTTACCCCACGGAGGCACGTTCACACGATACTCCAACGCTGCAAACACACACACACACATCATGATATATATATATACACATCATGACATAGGTACTATGTACACCTATACACACACTGCCTGCCTTCCTGCATGCATGCCTGTCCGTCTGCCTGCATGCCTGCCTGCATGCCTGTCCGTCTGCCTGCCTGCCTGCATGCATGCATGGCTGCCTGCCTGCTGCCTGCCTACCTGCCCGCATTTCTGCCTGTCTGTCTGTTTGCCTGCCTGCCAGCATGCCGCCTGCCTGCATGCCTGCCTGCCATGTGCTTGCCTGCCTGCAGGCTGACAACTTTACATACTGACTGAATGAAAGCTTGGCAAACACTGGGCTGATAGTATCACTAAAATTCCCACTACTAGCTCTCACTACAACCTCTCGTGTGTTGTTACACATGATATGTCACCCTTGCACCATCACACTGTAAAACCCCGGTCCCACACACCCCGCGCGCTCTCCAAACCCCGTTCCCAGCACTCACTGACGGCATCCCCCGTAGAGGCGACGTCCTGCCACTCTCCGGGTCTGAAGTCGGCCTGGTACTGGATGTGGAAGCGGCGTATGGGCGAGTCGTTGGCCTTGCCCGGCTGCCACATGATGACGGCTGTCTTCACGTCACAGTCGTGCAGGTACGTGCCCTCCGGAGGGTCCGACACACAGATGCAAACACACGTTTTAGTCGAGCGACAAAAAGCAATTAGTAGTAATCGCGCGAAACTGTTACTAGAAGCTGCTAACCGTTTCGTTCCCCAACTCTGTAGCTAGAACTACACTTATATGTGCACGTCTTTCTACACTATTGCCTTGCCTAGGATCAGTAAGACTGACCCTTCCATGTCAGGGTATTAGCCAGGAATGAGTGAGTATTGTGGGAGTGCAGAAAAAAAATTTGGAAGTGCAATTTTTTTGTACGTGTGTCTCAGCCATTAATATTTTTATATTTTAACATTTTAATATTTTAGGCCGTGCTACACATTTTTGGCCGTGCAGTTTCAAAACTGACCCTGCAAATCACGGCTGCACGGCTCGCTGGCTAATACGTTGTTCCCTGTTTGCGCCACATGGGGCGGTAACATGCTCTGTGTGTTAACCGCATGTACATTATTAACAATGTACGCTACGACGAGACGCTATGCCCTTATAAGGCGCATGCCAGATCACACCGCCGAAACACAACGGGTTATCTCAGATCGCCCCGGCAAACACTCGTTATCCATCGCAATTGGAAAAAAAACACTAATTAATTTTAATTAAATTAATCTCCGCAAAGAAACAGCAGTAGTATTAATCGATCGGCATCTCCTGCTCGCGTTAGACTGCCGCTATTCCTGCAGGAGCGAGTGCGTGTGAGTAGTGAACACGTTACGCGAGCCAGTCTAGAGATGGCGGATTACCTGCGCATATGTACACTAATGCCGCGTGGTAGCAGATGGAAGCGTCTGAAACACGGCGGAAATCACAAAACAAGCGAACGTGACGCGGTAAGCCAGGCGACAGCAGTGCACCAGGTGGCACCCCGCGAGAGACAAGCGAACGTCTCCCGCCACGGGGGCGATCGCCTCCGCGATGCAAGCGTAGAAAACAAAAGGCGTTTGCTAGCAGCGCGCAGGCGTAAACGAAGCAGTGAGCGCGTGCTAACGATAACGAAGCTAAAAGAAAAGCTGCTCAAGGATGAACTCTTAAGGAAGCACTCGAGAAAGAAACTTAAGCAACAAAATAATAACACAGAAGCAGCAGCAGAAAACCTCCTCCACCCCCAACACCTAACACATCATCAATAGAAGCCATCACCTCCCACACTCCCCGTGTTCTGCGGATGCGGCGTAACCGTGGCGACGCGCGCGCGCGCGTACTTACTTCCTTCGAGCGCGGTCTTCGTTTCTACGTAGTTGGCGTCGCCGAGCCCGGCTCCGGTGCGAGCTTGGATGGTCACGCGGTACTTCGTGTCGGGGTCAAGGTCGGTGAGCATGTTCTTCGTCTGCTGCGGGTCATCAACCTCGTCGATCATCTGCAGCGGTCCCACCTGCGTGCCGTTCTGCCGGAAGGATGAGGCGGTGGTGAGCGAGACGCGTTGCCACGGCGACGACGTCGACTTATATATATTTATTATTTTATTTTAATTTTTAATTTTTTTAATTTTTAAATTTATTTAAATATTATATTCGAAGAGGGTCTTATTTAACAAATTGGTTGTTTTTACTAGATTAGGTTGTTGCTGTTACTTTATTGATTACTATGTAAAATTGATTATAATGAGGATATAACACAATGAATTTTACTCGAGTATCAATCGATTACCTACTAACAATTAATAATTATAATATCAATAACAAACATTATATAATAATACGAAAAATAAACGATTATGGATTTGAAATAGAAAACTAGTTGCTAAGCCGCTGTCACTTGATGCACCCCTCACATTGTGGGTGTGGGTAATCGGGCGGAGGTGTGTGTGTGTGGGAGGGTGGGAGGGAGGTACACTTACCACGGTCTGGTAGGAGATCTTGTATCCCTCCAGCACACCGTTGGGTTCGGTCGGCAGCTGCCAGTGCAGCACGATCTTCTGCGGTCCGTATGGGTAAGCCTCGAAACGATCCACGGGGCCGGGAGCTGTGGAGCATGCGCGAGACATAGTGAGTCATAGTGAGACATGGCGAGACATAGTGAGACATGGCGAGTCATAGTGAGACACTGATACACGGTGAGATATAATATGCCTATCTGTATATCTGTCTGTCTATCTGTCTATCAGTCTATCTATCTTTATAGCTATCTATCTATCTAGCTAGCTCTCTCTTTACATACATATGCACAAGGACATAGCGTCCGAGTCGAGATAACGCCTATTCGAAATAAACTAATAAAATATTGAATGATGATTAAAATGTGACCATGGTTGATTAAACGTGATCGCGGGCAATAAAATCTGACCATCGCTAACTAAATACGATCGCGCGTGACTCGTCGCAGCTGCGCCCGACGCCACCGACAAGTGAACGTACGTCCTTCGGGCGTGGAGAAGAGCGCCTGCGGCTGGCTGTCGTCTCCCTCGTAGACGCCGTTCCACACGACGATCACTGCGACCACGTCCGAGTATGGCTTCAGATTTTCCACCGTCGCACGCGTCTGGTCAGACTTGACCTGCGTCGTGCGTGCGCTGTCCGGCCCCTCAGCTTCCGTCCACGTCTTGATCTGCGCGCGGCGAGAACAAGAGAGCATTCGCGTATGTTGTATGCACATACTTCGCTGTTAGGTGTTTCACCTTATATTGAAGTCTCATATTGGCATTCACATATCAACATTTATATCAAATTATTTATGTATATATATTATATGTCTGCGTGTGCGTGCGTGCGTGTAATGCGTATATTTATATATATATATATATATATATAGACTATGATCTTGTCTTGCATGATCTTGGACATCACACACGTCCTGCTACATACAATGAAAACAACAGGCGTACACACATGCCCTCGCTCAGTGACCCCCAGTCACTGGTTACCGGTCACTCACACATTCTTCAGTCAGTCAGTCATTGACGTTACTAGTCATTACTGCAGTCATCCCCCCTGCCTCGCGTTACTGCAGTCATCTCCCCCGCCTCGCGTTACTGCAGTCATCTCCCCCGCCTCGCGTTACTGCAGTCATCTCCCCCGCCTCGCGTTACTGCAGTCATCTCCCCCGCCTC